GCGCGGCCATCGGGCTGCTTGGTGGAGTTCAGGTCTTCCATTCTTCTATTTAGGTTAGATATGACACTTGGTTGCCCTTTCCCTGCTTCCATCAGCTTCCCCATCATCTCTCGTAATCTCTTGTTCTCTTCAAGTAGCTTCATATCTGTTTCCATCACTGTGTTGCGGTCACCATTGGACATCTGTGTGGTTGGGGTTGAAACAGTAAAGGAAACCCCTGATTGGTTTGCCTCTTCAATTGGTTCTGAAGAACCATGTGTCCCAGCAGGAACCTCAACCTCAGCAGTTTCACTTGGCAGCTGAGCATTTTCTGTGTTGCTAATGGTATATTCTGGTTCCTGGCTTTCCATTTTTATTTCCAACTCCACTTCTTTGTTTTCTGCATATGTTATCCACTGGTGGACATTGTCTTCTTCGTTTTCCTCGAAAATGACTTCCTTTTCCTGAGTCACAACATCTCCATTTTCTGATTGGGAAGAGGGCATATCATCAACAGGAATTACTCTGTAATCACCATCTGCCTCAAGTAGTTTTTTTTTTTTTTTTTAAGGAAACTTCATCTGGTTCATGAACCACTGTGAACTCATCATTGTTGATTACATACTCTTCCTGCGGTTGCTCTACCTGAACCTTCATCCACTCCCCTGAATCTGCATTTTGTAGTTGCTTGTCTGATTTGCTTACCGCAAAAGCTTCATCAATTGGAGAAGTAGCATCAGTTATCATGTTGCTTTCCCCTTCTCCACCCTGTGATGCCACGTCCTTTACTGTTTCAAGTTCTTCATACTTCTTCGATTCTGGAATTGCTTGTTTGTCCCCCCTTACTCCAGCAGGCAACTCCTCCGACATACCACTTTCTTGGTCTTTCTCAATAGGCATCAAATTCTCAATCTCAACAGGCAAAGCTGAACTGATTGTTGAATTATACTTCACTGCACCATGTTCTGTCTGTCTTTCCTCATCTCCAGTTAGTTTCTTTAGTTCAGAATCAGCATGCATCTCACTAACCTTTCCCTGTGGCGACAAGCTCAGCTTATCCCCTTTGGGTTTCTTGGTAATAGGTGCTACAGCATGCACTCCAGCGACTTGAGTTATTCCCTCTTCAATTGTATTATGACTTAACTCTATATTCCCCACATAATCATCAGAGCTGGAGTTCTTTTCTGGAACTAATGGAAGGTCAACAGAATGCTCAAGCATGGGAAGGGCAGTGTTAGTGTCTAGACTTTCCACCATAGCTGGAGTATTATAATTACAAGGTCCATCTCCTAGTTCCATATGTGGCTTTGATTCTGCTTCTAGACAACCTATCCCGCTGGTCATTTGTGCTTCTTTGGTTCCGTTATCTGGTTGCACATTTAGTTCTTAGTGAACAACAATAGGTTCTGCAGTTTCCCCGCCCTTGACATCCATCGAATGGCTGACCAATTAGTCATGTGGGTCCCTCACATTTTCGCCACCATCATGGGAACACTCAGTGGAACCCTCATCAACTCCTAATGCTTCCTTTTGCATTTCCTTCATCTTAACGTCTTCCTGTGCATCAGCATTGAGAACAACCGCCAGTTCAGAAACGACTGACTCCTCCTCAACCAGTTCTTCAGCCTGTTTGCTTGTTAAGGAATCAAGCCTTTCCTGCAGCATCACAAGCTCCCTTGCCAATGATTTCCTAATGTCCTTGAGGCTTGGATGCAAACCCTGATATAAATAAGAAGCAAAACCATCCCCCTCCCCAAAGACAGAGAGAGAGAGATTAAGAGTTCTGTCATGCAGTGAAGTCTAAAGCTGATCAAAAAAAAAAAAAAAATGCAGTGAAGTCTAAACCATTTACAAAATACTGAACCAGATTGCCATATCAAAGCTTCTTCCCTGCATAAAGGTCCATATCTTATGCACCATTTTTTTGGCTATTGGATGCCTATGTGTTGAAATACAATATATAAAAAAAATTGAAAGCTGGATGATTGAAACAACATAGAGCAAACAACTTAACACACAGATAGCCATAATAAGTTTAAACAAGCTATGCGCATACCTGAACAGTGTCCAATTTCAATATGATGCTCATGATCTTTTCTCCAATTACCAATCTCTGCCTCTCATCATTTTGGAGATCAGAAGAAGACTCAAGAGCTTGAATTTGATTTCTAACCTCAGCCACTTGCTCACGAACTTTGACTATTTGCTTCAACTTCTTTAGTGGCTCCCATTTCCTCACCTCAAACCCACGATATGCTGACTGAATAAGGATTGCAGCTTCTACATCTGATCTGATAACTGCTTTTTCTCTGCTTTATGTTCACCATAAACTGATTTTGCAGGATCATTTGCTTCCTTTCTTTGAGTTTCCTCCTCAGATCTTGCAGCTTCTTCATGCCTTGTTGGTTCTTTCTTTGTTTGTTTCTTACATACATCATCTTGGCCAGTGGATTTGGATGATGAGATTTCAATTAGGTGCCCACTGGTGTGTTCTCCACCCTTATTTTCCTCTGATCTCTTTTCCATCACCCGAATGTTTTTTACCATTTTTTCCTTAGGCTCCACCTCCTTTACCTTGCTCAAGTTACTCTGAGTTTGATTACCTCTCGAGGAGTCTTCTTTCAAGCCCTGTCCAACAGGGGGCTTTGATGTCTCTCGTTGTCTCTGTTGTTTGTCCTTGAGAACTAGGAGGGCTTGGAGACCTCGAACTGCCATTACCATTTTTCTTCTTGGGCAAGGGATCAACTCTCAGGCAAACAGAAGGCAGCTTGGATTTTCGTGGGGATAAAGATTGTCTCTTTGCACTTCTCCCAGAAGGTTTATCATTTGCACCATCTTCTACCTGCTTCACAGTAACATCTCTGCCCCTACTTTCTGGTTCTTCATAGTTATTCCTTTGCACCTCCAATTGCTTCACACGAACTTTTGAGGAGTCTCTTCATCTGCATCAGGTTCCTTCATGCATCCATCTGTAGGGGATTTTGCAGGAACAAACTTGAAATTAGCAGGAGCTGCTTAAGGATGCTTCAAAGCAGGCGCTTACTTTATATTATCCTGGTTTTTAGCCTCCTCTTGCTTCTCATACGGCACCCAAATAACGGGGACAGGAAATTGTCTCATTCCATCTTCATTTTGTTGATTCTGCATCTTCCTCCCATCTTCCCCCTATATTGAAGAATTAAGGCCATTCGCAGCAAGCGGAAACCAATCATTCCAGACTTTTGGCTCCCATTCAGAAGACTTGACACCTTGAATAGACTTTGCGTCACCATGTGCCTCATCCCAATTCCTAACCTCTGATTCCACAGATTTCTGATCTTCTTTATTTTTCACGTTTTCAGGTGGAATCCACACAATTGGGTATGGATAATTTCTCAGCTGAACTGGTGCAACTGCATTACCCTCATTTTTCTTGACCTCAGGCTCTTGCTCTTCAATCTTCATACCTCTCTCTTTTTGCTGGTGGCAAGGATGGTCAGGACACCCACAACAATGGTAGCTCCCAGGTTCATCCTTGTAATATTCATACCTAGGCTGCTCCACTGAATAATGAGGAGGAGGAGGAACACAGTACACAGGACACACCTCAGGAAATGGAGGATAATTTCCATAATGATGTAGTGGTGGTGCCGACATAAAAAGCGCACAAGGAGGCCTAAAACCATAATAACCAGGGAAATTACCATGATTGCAGCAACCATGACATGGAACCGAGCAGCCACAGTTGCTGCCATGACGCCAAGCTTCATACCTCACAGGAGATAAGACGGATCCACCTTCATGTGATGTGGAACTGCCTCAACACTGGGGAGATAATATCGAGGAAAAGACTGTTGGTTTCCCTGGTGAGTGCTTGAGTCCATCATGTTCATGTATCCGTAAACAGGCATCATTTTCAACAGACTTCCCCTAAGATGTCAAGACTGGGTAGTTCTTCACAAACTCTTTTATTATTTGCAATCAACTCCTGATGAAAATTACAATCATTGTTCATTGATAAGTTCTACATTATCCCAAATGAAAAATCACGTATTAATTCATTTTTTTGTAAAAAAATATATATTACAGGCACATTACTACAAAAATAAGAAAAATTAGAGACTTACAATTCGTTTTCTCGGGAAAAGGAAAGAAAATCCAGCCAAACAATTCCCCAATTCCAGATGACTCAGTTATCAGCACGAATCCGTCCACTACCCCAAAGGAAATTTGATTCAAATTCTCTTCCGAGTACGGATTTAGCCTTGCAGTTGCTGACAATTTCTTCAACCTGAGATGGTAATGTATCAGGTTTTCGTTTTTATACCAAACGACCAGCGGAAAAATTTTCTTCATTCTTCCAGAGAATTTTTTTTTGGTATTTTTTTCTTTTCTCTTCTTGATGTTTCGCGCGTCTGGCGAACCGTCTGGATTTTCCGGTTACCGATTGCCGAAGAGCCCAAGGAAGAAAGTTTCAGCCCAAAAAGGACTGTATAAGCTTTCGTAGCCCAGCCCAGTCAAATTCAAGCTTGGTTCACCATTTTTTTCCATAGAAAGTTAGAAACCCAAACAAAAAACAGTCTGGGCTGGGCTGGGCTGGGCTGGGCTAGGCCTCGATCTTGCTCTTGCGGATTATTATTAGTGTAAAATAATAAAACCCCAAACCCAAAAACCCTTCATCGTCTTCTTCCTCTCTCCCCCTGCCTCACCGCCCACAACAAAACTTCTTTTCTGTAACTCGGAGAAAAAGTGGAAAACAGACGGCACCTACAGAGCTCACTGATTGTGGTACAAAGATACACTATAGGAGGTCAAGTTTTTTGAATTATTAAGTTTTGATCTGAGAATATGGGGAGAGCGAAGAAACCCCAGAGATTTGCTGTCATGAAGAAGATAGTTACCTCAAAGGCTATTAAAAAGTAAGATTCTTTCTATCCTCTTTGCCTTTGATATTTCTGTTTCGGTTATTGTGATGATCCTGATGTGTTTATTGATTTTTTTTTATTCTTTTCTTTTTAATTTAGTTACAAACAAGAGGTTCTGAATCCTAACAAGAAGGACCTAACCAAGGAAAAACTTCCCAGAAATGTGTAAGACTCTTGGGTTGTGTGTGATTATGTGAATTCAAGCTTGGAATTTTATTTTTTCCGTCTAGATTGATATGGGTTTTTCTTGATATGAATGAACAGGCCGAATGTTCCTTCAGCGCTTTTCTTCAAGTATAATACCGCTTTGGGACCGCCATATCGGGTGTTGGTGGATACCAACTTTATCAATTTCTCCATTCAGAGCAAGGTTTGTGCTTTTGTCATTTAATTGTTGTCAATGTAGCCTTTATGTTTTGCTATTTTAATTTCACTGCTTTATATGTGTCCTTTTGATGATGATAGTTTGAAGATGCTAACTGCAGAAGTGAGCTGTAGTTTGAATGAGCTAACTCAGTTTTTGGAATTTTCCTCTCCCTTTTTGGCAGTTGGATCTCGAGAAGGGGATGATGGACTGCTTATATGCAAAATGTGAGTTGTGGAGTTGCTTGTTTTTTCTTTTATATTGATAAGAATTTGATATTTGGCTTATGAATATTGGAAAAGTGTTGTTAGAAAAGTGCACATAATTGATGACTTAGCTGTTATATTTATCCCATTAGTTTTTTGGATTATATGTTAGTTGGCAAGTAATGACATAGAAATTCAATTCTGATATCAAGGCCCCAAAAAAATGCTGATACACAGTGATTCCCGAGATGTAATAATGCCTGTCCTCGGCGTCTTTGTTCTTAGAGAAATTGCAGTAATAAGTACACATTTCTTTACAAAACGAAAGTAAGCATTTAAATTTCTTGTTGTAGGCTTGCATCAAAGGAACTTCAATATTGGAACTGATTTTTTGTAATATTTGTAAACTGAACTCTTGCTGGTTTCTCTGAGATAGTGGCAGATTCTTTTTCTTGGGTGGGGGTGTTGTTAAACATGATGTAGTTTTGAAACTTTATGTGAAACTGTGATGATGAGGAAGTTAAGAGAACATAAATTGAGGAGTGTGTAAGATTAGGTGTGCCTGCAGATTTGTTACTGATTGTTCTAAGTGATTGTTTATTTACATTTTAATGTTTTTGATTTGAAGGCACTCCTTGTATCACGGATTGTGTGATGGCTGAGCTTGAGAAGTTAGGTCAGAAGTATCGTGTAGCTTTGAGGTGTGTTCAATTTTTACTTTAACTGTCATATCCCTCATCCCATGCAGTTTTTTTCATTATTTTACCCACAATCAGCTTTTACAACCATATTTTTATACTTATTTCTGTGCTCAAATCAGCAAACAACTATCTCAATACTTCTGTTATTACATAGTTGTTTGATAATGATGAATATTTCCCTTTAATTTGTAATAGTTTTGGTTTTTCTATTGCAGTTACTTTTTAGTGATTAACATCATTCCTCTCCTCCCTCCCTCCCTCCCTCCCTCCCTTATTAATTCATTTGTTGTCAGGATTGCTAAGGATCCTCGTTTTGAAAGGCTACCATGTATTCATAAAGGGACATATGCCGATGACTGTATTGTTGATAGAGTTACTCAGGTACTGTACTGTCCCTAGCAGCTTGCCTTATTTTCATCATTTTTGGAAAGGGGGAGGAGGAGGATGGCCTGTTGTAGTGATTTTGAACTTGGGATGGCGTGTTATTATTCCCTTTGGCTAAAAGTCTGTCAATTTGGTTTTGTGGTACCCATGTTGGACGTCAACTTCCTGGTGATGTTGCTCAATGGTCATTATGCTGCTGTCATGTGTAGATGGACCTTTTTATTTGTTTTAGGTCAATGAATTTTTGGATTAGAAATTGTGTTAGCCAGGTGTCCTTCCCCAAGTTGTCTGCCTACATAAATTCAAAGTTATAGCCCTGTTCACTCTGTATGCTAAACAACATTCTTGAGCTTACATGATGTGCTTTGTTTTACAGCATAAATGCTTTATTGTTGCTACATGTGATCGAGACTTGAAGCGAAGAATTCGCAAGGTAAGATTAATTAGTCATCAGATGGGCATTGTGTATGACATGGAACTTCATTAGCTCATAGTTGATTGTTATGCAGATTCCTGGGGTGCCAATCATGTACATTACTCAACACAAGTATTCAATTGAGCGACTGCCCGAAGCTACAATTGGTGGAGGTAGGTTAAATTTTTTAAGCCAAATATTATAATTGGGAAACGCATTTTTCTTTTTCCCCTTACGGTGGTGGAAATTTCTTTTGCTATTTTTTCCCTTGTCCATTGATATTCCTTTTTGACTTGTTTTTGGTTATGCAGCTCCAAGATTCTAAAGCTCGAAGATATCTACAGCGATTCAAGGTCATTAGCGTAAGCATTCTTACTATATGGTTGAAACCTTCCTATAGCGACAGTCAGAAACACTTTGGTTTTCGATTGTGTATCAGCTAAGCAAACTTGTTTAGTTCTGAAACCAATGCAAATTGGACTACTGTTGTTAATTACACTGATCCGACCATGTTTTGATCATTGAAATAAAGGCTTCGTTTGACTTTACCTTCTGGTCTAGCTTACATGAACGCTTGGCTCGTATCGTAGCTAATGTATGAATCCCCTACCCTCCAAATACATATGTAAAAGAAAGGCATCTGGGCAAACATATGAAATGGCTTTCTTATCCGAAACTGTGGGTGTTAAAGATTTATGTGCTAAGAATTAAAAAAAGGGGGAAATGTAGTATACAACTGAGGAATTAGTGAACATCAACGACAGGAAGGATGCTGTTAGTTACATACAAAAGCAACTCATCTAGAATACAAAAATATATGCATCCTGTCTACCAAAAATGGGAAAAGAAGGAGACAAATTCAAAAATCAAAGAATGATCATATCTGACTGTACTTCCTAAGGTGCAAAACACAGATGAAATCAGTTAGACCTTACTTCAGTTGAGTTTGAGTTTTCCTGTTCTGTAAGGGGTTTCACGTACTTCCCTCCTAATGCTTTCTGGTGATTCCGTTTTCTCATTCTAGCAAGTTTGTCTTTACTTCGTTGCTTCTTCTTCTCTTTCTCTTGGTTGCGAAGATTCCTCTCTCTGTCAAACACACCTTGCCAGACAACCTCACCAGTTGATGGCCATAACCATCGTTGCTTGGGGTGGTCTGAGTCTGCCTCCTCAGCCAGGTCCTCGTCCATGCTCTTCAAAGTAGAAAATGAGAACCATTTGATCCACATTTTACCACGCCGGTTTTTCAACTTGTGATATTCTTGCATCACACCAGTCCCGGGGTTCACATATACAATCCTCCGCGTACTGTGGTAAGCCCAAACATTCACAAGAAGCTCAAGCACCCGAGAATAACATTGCTTGTCCTGTAGCAAGCCAAGTTAGTACTTATAATACCATAAAATGAAACTAATAGAAACCGCACTGACTCTAAAGAAAATAACGTGGTTGATCCATAGGCAATTTCCAATAAGTGGCAATAAAGTGCAACAAAATTAGCTGTCAATTTTCTACATCATTCACAAGTCACAACGGACTGAATAAACCTATCATAGATTTTTCTTGAGAACATACTATCAAAGGTGGAAACAAGTTTATGATTTTCATGAAGCAGGTTACCTTGGAGAAACTTAGATAACAGCGACCACTTTGATGGTGCTCATCATACATTTGTGCATCCAAGGCATCCACAAACATCCTGCAAGCAGACATGTTTAGTTCGGTAAGCAAACGAACTCTTGCTGGATAGACATGGAACCCCTACATGTCATACACAGAAGCCTTTGAAATACACAGACCTTGAAAACATGACAAATTCTAGGAAAGACCTAGTTGGCAAGGCCCAACTCTGCGTGACAGACCATGTACCATCTTCAGGCATTGGTGGCAAAGAATTCAAATCCTCCTCTACACCATACATTCTTTTGAAGGCCTCTGAAAATGCAAATCTGCAAGGAAATCATGACACGAAGTTAAGTTTCCAATAAGAGTGTGAGAACGAGTTATACAAGTTTCTGATAAATTCCTCTAGGTTACATAATGAATTAGATGGTAAAGCTTACAGCCCTTACCTGCAATTTCCAGCATTTATAGCATCACAAAATGACCAAAAATCATGTTGCAAGTTGTTTCTTGGGTCCATGTCCATGCGAACCCAAAAGTAGAGAGTGTCACCATGCTTCTGTGTTTCAATGGCATTCAACAATGCACTTTCAGCAACCTTGGACAAAGATGCCTGTTTTAAGTCACAAAATTAGATACAAAGAGTGTCAACAGCTCTGTTCAACTCTCATGATAATGAGGAATGCTCATACTATTATGCAGAGTAAAGGTGACAGCAAGAGGATATTAGTTATGAAAGAAGTCTAGCAATCTTACTCAACACATGTTGTGTCAAAATGGAATTTCAAAGTAAGAACAAATCTTATATTTTCATTAGTCAATTGCATGTGGGCATCTAAGATAAGAATGAGCAAGACACAATATAAGAGAAAGCAATGCCTCACCATCCTAGCTGTTGCTCTCCAAGATTGAAATCCTATCCAGGCATTCTTATGTAGACGGTCAATCCGGTTAGCAATTGCAAAAAAGGCCCCATATTCACCAAGGACATCTCGATAGTAGAGGTTATTAAGTAGTGGCAGACGAGAGGGTGCATCAATATCATCCATACCTGGTCTTCGACCTTTGGTGGACTACAACATCCCATCCATGAATTTAAATCAGATAATGGAAGAATTATACTACTGTTATAAGCATATTCATGTGGTCTACACACCATATGCTGTCTTTACAATTTCAAAAAATGAAGTCATTTGAAATTCAAAACTCTATTTGTTTCAGCAACCAACTTGGGTACAAAGAAATTACAAGGATAGAAATCAATCCAAGATAAACACATATATTCTAAGTCAGAAAATTTTCAGAATGAAAGCTAGAAATTTGTCTCCCTGAGTCCCATCAAAGGAAAAAGGTTGTCATACTGGCAATATGGGCATTATATTTCCATGTGTACATTTTATAATTTAGTAACCAATATCTTTTAATAAAAGTAGGAAAGGCATGCAATTCTCTAGAAAAATGTTCTCAATAATGAGCAAATGAAACATCACATATAGCAAAGAAGATTGGGTTCACTAACTCACCAATCCAATTCCATGATAAAGCGAATTATTGTGCAGAAAGGGCCAGGTTCCTTCACCATAATAAGGTTCATAAATGCACAATGGTTGGCCTGTCCTCTGAAGCTCTCCCTCATCCCTTTCATGCAAGTCATTCTTGTTGCGGCCAGTCCTCTTGGCAGCTCGATATACATCCTCCCATGTTCCACTGGGTTGATCAGTTCTATCTTTTAACTGAATTATATTTAAAAGAAAATGAATTTCATAAGGATAAACTTGAACGATGGAGGCTGAAGAATTGCTTAAAACATACTTTAAACATATAGATAGTATACTATTGCCCACAAGAATTTTACCTCTTCTTCCTCTCTTCTCTTTTTAGTATTCATGATCTGCATATTTTTTACTTCTGCCCAACTCTCATATGAAAATGAATCATCCATAGCAGTCAGTGAACTGGAGCTCCCCATTTGGGTATGGTTCCACAGCTTCTCAATGGTGTTCAAGAATTTATAACTTCTCCAAGTTGTATCTTCATACGATGAGTTTATAAAAGCTTCAAATAGATTCCACAGCCATTCATTTTTCAATACAGGAGGAATTTCTTTAACAGCCTTTGGAGGTGCAGTTTCTGATGGGAGTTTGAGGACATTTTCAAGCAACAAAGCATAACCCTCAACAGTCTCCATAACCATCATATTTTTAACAGTTTCTTTACCTTTCAATGCAATTCTGCGTGCCTCAGGGGATAATTTCTGATCTGAGATCACTTGCAATATGATCTGGGTCAGAACTGTGATATTCTCCTTGGGAAATAGATAGCTGTTGACTTGGTCATCAACCTAGTCAATATTGACAACACTATTAGAAATTCATATAAAGGACACAAATATCTATGGAGAGGAAACAAGATGTAGAAGCATACATGTTTTCTGATACTGGGAAGATTTGGAGCTATGATTGGTTTCCCAAGACTCATGGCTTTTGTCAAAATTTCTGGAAAAGATGGCTCCTCAAGGAAGGATCCATGTATGACAATGCTAGCCATGCTAAGAACACCATCAATGTCTCCATCAAAAGCTATATGCTTCACCACACCTCGAGGATATCCCAAGTTAGAAGCAATGCTCTGGGTGAGGTAACAAAGAAGATTGTTAAAACTGCATAAAATTGATGATAAGAACAGGAAATTCCTTCGAAAGAAAAATTGAACCAGATTTCTCAGCAGTACTTGTGCCATACCTCAATAACCATATTGTAGTTACTTGTTAACTCCCCACTTAAGACGACGATTTTAGCCTTGGAATTTGAATTATTAGCAAAGAGTGGAAATAGAGCCTGTAAAATGAGAGCATGCTCCAACCACAAACCCTTGTACAAAAATTGATTTCCTACAACAATTAGATCATCCAGCCCATAATCTATTGCAACATGTGGATTATCTACATCCACCTTCATTCCTATTTTTGCTTTCCATG